AAAAAAAAAAAAAAAAAAAAAAAAAAAAAAAAAAAAAGTAATGGTACTGACAGTTCCAGCCTGCAGATTAGCTTTATGATGCTTCCCTTCATTAGGCAGGATTAGGTAGATAAAAGGGCTAGCTAACAAGGGCTAGCTAACCTTTCTCTGACTCCATAGCTTTTTTTGAAGTCAGAGTTTCTTAGACACGGTTGCTGAGCACAATTCATTTGATAAATATCACTATCTCAATCTTTCTTCTTATTCTGGCATTCAAAATGCTGGCCTTTGAGAGCATATGCAGAAACACATTTATAACATTCAACAACATCAGGCTTATGGTATACCCAGGAAGATTGACGGAATCATTCAGGAAACCTTTTCGGAAATGGAGGAGACCACTTTGGATTAGAAAACTTCAGATACTCCCATTTAGTGCTGGAACTCTCACAAACTGTCACCCACAATGTTTCTGGTAATTGTGCCCATTTAAAAGAATAATTTTAGGTACTTGAAAAAAAGTGCTAGTCCAGGTCTTTACAATTAGATACATCCAAACGCAGGTGTCTTAGAAGAGACTGATTCTTGTGACTTCAGCCTTTAGACTACAGGAATTCTTCACAGCAATTAGTTATAGACTAGCTCATGAATTATATAGATCACGAGGCCACAGTGACTCAGAGTTGCTCTGTGCAACCAAATGAAACAGTGCTTGCAAACCAAGTTGTCATATTAGATTGTGATCTCCAAAAAGTCTGATAAAACAGTCTACAACAGGCTATCGGGTCAACAAGCTATGGAAAAAAACCACACTTCATTAATGCCTTAATGGTGTCTTTCTTCCTTACAGTACCAGTTCCCAACTCTTGAGCAATCTCAGAATAAATTCTTTTTTTCCCTGGATGTTTTTGTACTTTCCCCTATTAAGTCCATGGACAATCAGAGTGTCACAGGTCACTCCTCACCAGAATACTCAGCCACAAATCCCATACATCGTCCATCACCATCTTCACTCTGTAAAGGAGCTTGCCATTTTTGCACAGAAAGACTGTTCTGTGTAAGAAGTGAAGGGAAGCCATCTGTAACAAGGGCTGCTTTTGCTGCCTTTTATCGATGTCCCAGCCAGTATTTTCCTTCATCAAATTAAGCCCAGTAAGAATCACCAGTTTTAAAACTTCATACTGTATGGCTATACAGACAGATTGTCAAGAAGTATTTAAGAATTTTCATAAATCCTATAACCTGGAGTAATTAGTTCCTACAGTCGAGTACTTAACAGTGGATCACAAGGAGAGCTGGGAATCTAGCCAGGTTAGTATTTTGGTTTTTGATTCCCACCAGTTATCTACTGCGCTTCAGATGTCATTGAAAAGCCCTCCCCCAAAAAGTACAACAGATACAAACAGATGAAAGCCATCATACAAAATAAGCTCAATGTTCAATAAGTTATGACATTTTATACTTTAAGCTCAACTTTGAATATATGATTGATTGCACTGATCAGTTAAAAGCATTCCAAAGCTTCCTCCTACTCAACAAAATGGTAATTCATAAGGATCTAAAGAATACTAGGAGATTCATACTACATACCAAAACTCCACCAACTTAACTCCATGTCAGTATTGTCAAATACAAGAGTCCTAAATAAGATCTCTCAAACAAAGCTGAATGGTGAGGTTGTTTTATGTTTATCTAGTGAACTCAGCTCGATCTCGCTTCACAGGAATAACAGGCCAGATTCCCTCTGATTCCAATTCCTCATTCTTTCAGATCTTTCAATCTGGAATGAATGGCAAGGTAGTGTCAATGTGGTACAAAGTCATGCTTGTTGGTCACTAGTGTAAAAATGAAAGACAAATCCTAGTTCATTCAAATCTTCCATGGCTTCCACCAGGTTGGATGTGTACCAAAAACCATTATCACCAATCTCCACAAAGAGATTTCAAAGAAACCTGGACAAATGAAACATCTGAACATCAATAAATACTAAAATCAAGTGTAAAATAACTTTTAATATAAATAAGCCATCTTGACACACGACCGCTCAGTATTTTATTTAGCTCATAGCTCAGGAAGAAAAAAAATGCAAAAACTCAAAATAGAGCAAACATTTGGGTATCCAAATGTCCTTTAGTTCTTGCACTATGAGAGCACCCCAGTAAGGGGCAGTGTAAAACCACAGTATCTCAGAGAATGCTGCAAGAGACTCCCACGTCAAGAACTATAATCGCTCTCTATACAGCAGTCCCTGCAATTGTGAAGGCCTTGCCTTCCATTTGGCCAGTGCAAGACGCTTTACATTTGAAAAGAACTTTGACAATTAGGTGAGTACTGCAAGCATCCCTTTCTCTGCTGAAAACAAAGGCTACCCTTACTGTAGATTTCACTAGCCACTCTACTGAAAATCTGCAAATTACACCTTGTAAATAAAAGATAAGAGTTCCTTCCTCAATAGACAGGCTTTCCACATACAGCATAACATAGGCTTCAGAGCAGCTTTACTTTGTTCTTGCATACCTATCCTCTTTGTCAGCTAAGGAGTACAGGTTTTAAGCTACTTTGACCAGCTGAAATATATCATAAAACTGGATCTATTTACTCAGCCTAAAATACTGTTTTTACTCATATTTCATTTACAATTAAATAAGGAAGAACTTATATCAATATATAACATGTGCTGCTTTTTTTTTTTTAAAAAAAAAGGTTGTTCTTTTAGTGAAAAAAAATTTAGAAATTATTTTTTAGAAAAAATATAAATCCGTCTTTGGCAAATGAAGAAAGGCTTAACGAGACTAAGCCCCAGGCTCAACTCCTGCAAAACTAAGAAATTAGTGCACAGAATTTTCACAAGAACCTTACACACTCCCTGTATTCAGCAAGATTTAATGAAATCATGAGTACACACAGGCTAAGAGAAGGAACAGAACACACTCCAATCTCCATACCAGGCTCACAGTAAAGTTCACCTTGTCTTAAAATGAGACCTCTTTCTGATCTTGCTGCTAAAAGGGTCTCTGTTTTGACTAATTCCAACTCAGTAACTAAGTGAATGCATAGCCAAACTGGAAAGCTGAGTGAGAAATTACCAGAAACCCAAATGCATAACCAAAAATCCACAGTCCCAGACAGTCGGCCTACAGTGGAAGATCTTAAATTGAAAGAAAAACAACATGAAAGGATTTTTCTTCCAGTTGAAGAGATATCCCTTTCCTAAGAAGATCCAAGACAGAGAAACTTCAGCCCAGTGAAAATTAAAGTTTTAGTTTGGCTGTAACACTTGCCCATTTTCATTCCTATCACTTCACACTCTCATAATAAGTGTTTTCCTTGAAAACAAAGACTAATATTTTCAGAGGCACTTCTCAATCTGCCTTGTGAACCCTTCTGTCCACTCACCAATCATCACCATCCACACAGCTCAAAGTTTTTCACGGATGCCTTAGTTTATTCCATAGTGCTTTTTAAAAGATCAGACTCTCAGCAAATATTTCAACAGCTAAACTTACAAAGCCAGAGACAAATAAGGGTCAAGGTGCAAAATCTTATTTGTGTACAAATCCTAAGGGACCTATATCCTTAAGCAGTGTCCTAGGCAAAGAAATGATAGAAAGATATCCTAGTTCCACAGAGCAGGACCAGAAGTAAGTGTGCACTCTGGGAAGCCTATGGGCTTTCTACAGGACAATCTCTTGCAAGGGCTCTGCTTTAGACATCACTGGCTAGAAGCATGTGAACTTTAGAGAAACCCATTTCCAAGGCATCATTTAAAACAACACTGAATTATTTTGTGGAGCAAGTCACTAGGAGAAAAAGAGTCTGTATATCATTTAAATATCTAAATGAGAATAAAGTAACACAGCAAAAGACAGACACAAGCTACGAAATAAGCTGCTGCAACTTTTCTACAGAATGAAATATCTGCAAGCATAGAAGAATTAGGCTTTAGGGGTTCATTTTAGGTTTTAGCTACCAGTAGCTTTCAGCAGCAAAAACAAACTGTTGAGAACATCCTTGTCAATGCTGTTACTTTAACTATGCCTGAAACAACATCATCACAAACCACATTTTCACTGTTTTTGTAACAGGGGCTTGAACTCATGCAGTCACAATTCCTGAATGTTGGTAAAACAAACTGCCAGTATAACCAAGTCTTCAGGTACAAGAAAAGAAACAGATGATGCACCATAGACCATGCTCCAGTGGACTGGCAGCCTCTGAAGATGAGAGACCACTTCTAGACCAGGCCACCAGGAAGCCTCTGCTTAGAAAGCTACCACCTTCTGAGTAGCTTTAACCAAACTGGGTGTTAACACTTTACCCTCCAGCTTGTTCATCTAAATTTACCTTGTTTATAAGAGGCCCAGTCTTTGAATTCATCTGTCAACATTAAAGTTCCCTGATCAGATTAGGAGTACTCAGCCCTATGTTTCTCCCTCCATCAAAGAACCTGCACCTTTCTGATTTAAGCTACAGATCTAATTACTTTATAAAAACAATCAAGCTAATCACACTTCAGTTCAACTAATTTTCTCAAACTGCACTCAACCTACTTTACTAGGTCAAATCTCACTTATTTTATCCCATTGTCACATTTAGAAAATGAAGGGAAAAAAATCCCCAATCCTTCCTACAGCTACAGAAACACAGGTCAATAGGGGACCCTACGAGGCAACTCATTAATTTCTCCATCATCCTGCAAAGACCCAGATGTCTTCTACTAGTCCTAGAAGAATGTTGTCCACCCTCCTCTTAAAATTCCCTACAGGTGCAGACTGCACACATTCATTTACTTCACAGAGGCTAGTCATCAGAGAAGATGCACCTAAAGTCTCCCCTGCTCTAATCTGGGCCCTGATGAATACAGTTCATTATTTTATGCATTCTACTTCTCTTCTCAGCCTCCTCTTCCTCAGATTAAACAACACAAATATTTCAGTCTTTCAACGCAGGTCATGTTTTCTGGAG